CTCAAAGAAGCTCTCACGACAAGCTGGGAAGTCGAAGAAGGGGTAGAGGTCTAGTCTAATAAGCTGGACGGGCTCTAAGGGTGCAGGACGAGCGTTCCGCAGCGAAGTTCTGCCCCCGAGGCCCACCAGGGCCGTAGCGCCGCTTCAGCCCATAAAAGGGCTAACCCCTTGCTCGAACTCGAGAGGTGGCTCTACGGATTTCCCAAAGACTCGGAGCAGAATGCTTGCACTGGTGACGTCAACACCAATGAGGCTCGCTCCAGTGCGGATTTATGGGTCCCCTTCTCGGGTTCTAGGCCGTTTCTCACGATCTTTTCTTCACCCGTACATCCCTGAAGGCCTCTACCTTGATTTTTGATACTCTGCCTTTTCATTGTAAACCAATCTTTGAGTATTTACGGAATCGTATTTCATGAGACACGTTGCAGAGTGACGCAGCTTGCAGCAATGGAGACACGACAAAGCAGAAACAAATTTTTGAACGAATGCGTGGAGATAAGCACCGAAAGGGGCAAGTCCGCCTCGAGAATCCACATTGACTTCTCTCATTTCATGAGCAGACCCCCTGAAGCGCATAACACCCCTGCTTTTCCCCCACGTCCTGAATGAACGATTTTCAATTCTCTCAAAATGTCCGCACTTTCCCACGCGCCGCCTCTCGCCTGGCGCTCTCTCAGGCGCGATGGCACTATATCTGATCCTTAGAAGGAATGAGTAGGTAGTGAACAGCGTAGCTTGTAATTTCGCGCACTCCAACTGTTGGCACACAGTGGTCCAACCTACATATCTCGCAAATTCGCAGCAAAATATATGAAATCGGATGAAACTCCTGCTTACCGCTTCTCGTACACAAGCCGATTATCCGCTTGAAATACGGTAGGAAACCCACTTTTGAACCTCCTTACCCGGACCAGGCTCATGGTTAGTGCAATCACGCCTTGTTAAAGACGGTGATCACGGTGCTTGGAGTGCGGTGCGCTTTTGATTACGTCATTGGGCGTTGGTGGTGGAATGGCAGTAAGGAACGATCCCACCCTCCCCCCCCTTCTCCCCCCTGTGCGCTGAGGAGTCTAGTTCACCAACAGCGTCCAATGACGTCATCAGCACCGCACCGCTCTCCAGCCATCGTGATCACCACCTTCAAGAAGTAGCATCCAGTCGACAATCGTATTTCAGAGGCAAACGACTAAAAATAAATAGAAGTGGTTGGTTACTACGAAGCAGGGATTAATAGCAGCATAAAAATGTCCGCATCGATCAACCCCTTCACGGCACATGTTCAACTCACATTTGGAGTGGAAGAAGCGCTCAAACGCTTCGCTTTCTCATGGAATTAGTTAGGAGGACCGATGCTTAATTCATTATTTTCATTTTCGGATTATGTGGTAAATGGAGTGGAGTGATGGAAGAAGTGGCTGATACTGGCATACTTGAATGCACCTATTTTTTCGACTCTGCTTAGCCATTGCAAACTGTACGCTGACAGTTTTAGGAACAGGGTCGGTCCATGATCACCTTGGTTCGTTTTCGCTTGAATTTTTTTTATTTACCTCAAAATTGTTTATATGACGTGACATCCACCATCATTATCTACAATCGTATTGTCTACGCATGGACAAATGGTAAATGTCTGGTCACAATGTGAAAAGTAATGATCACCAGAATACCGTCAGCGCTCACTGGTGGTGAACACCGCCAGCGCACTGGTGGTTGCTCACCAATTTTTTTTCTAAGAATGTTTGGGCTTCGATGAGAAGAAAAATAGTTGTCGGCTGTAGATCATGTTGATCAGCGTAAGAGGAAAGCGCCCAGAGAGGAAAGTAGGTGGTAACCCGTTGTCACGAGGACTATGGCTATACGCTAGAGTGGAGGTGTTGGAGTGTTCGCGTGTCACTAATTGCATCCACTTCCTTAAGGGCATTCGAACACACTACTTTCCGGCAACACAAAAAGCTTATTCCTTCATCTAAAGGTCGATCACATGTTGACTTCCGCTTACTTAGACTACGACTTTTTAGAAACAAGTTATCGATGTGTTTTGTGTAGTAACAGTCGCTCCTAGCAACAACTAATCATCTGTAGAAATTTGGCTGACGCGCGCTGGGTTTGAGCTGGGATTCGATCCAGAGACCATATGCGCGGCAGTGGCCCTCCTGTCACCACACCATCTCCGCTCGAATGAACATTTGACGTTCAAATACAGTAACGAATAAATTTAGCACATCTCATTCGTGGAACAAGGCAATGTCTGGTTGGGAACGCACTTGAAAAAGAATTGCAAGCCGCACTTTGTAGAAGTGCTGCTCCCCTGCCTACAGGCTGCGCCCACCGGCTGCTTCTCCTCTAACGAATTTTCGCTGGTTTTTATGCTCGAAAGCTGCGCATCATAAAAGTGTTCTGCTACCACTTCCGCATGAAACGAACTGACAAAATTCCGGGGGTTGGAATTCCCAACGCAGGGGTTAATGGCGCCGCGTCCTCTAACAAAAACCTGCATCGTCATCGGTTTGTTATGTTTCACGGTTCCAGAATTGAGAGATATATTAGAATATTCACCCAAGTACAAGAGTTGAGCTCGACAATACTTTTTGGCGACTTGCACTGCAGTGACTGTGAACGACTTGCTTTTCAACTTATCCAGCGTAACTCGCTTAGACTTCTGATACTTCGCTGACAGAGCAAGAATTACCAGTTTCTAGTTGTGCACAATTCCGCCATAAAGCGGGCCCTCCGATCTCAATAAGTGCCAAAACTGTGGTAGTGACTTTGACTACGGAAGTGGTACACATGTGTACCACCAGTAGTCAAAGATTAACTTACGCAGGATGACTCGCTTTAGCTTCTGACGATTAATTGTCATAGTAAGAATTAGAAAGCTTCTATATGTGCACAATTCAGCCATCAAATGAGCGCTCCTGCCTCAATATTCCTGAAACTGTGGTAGTGTCTTTGACTACGAAGTGGGACACATGTGTCCCACCAGTAGTCAAAGGGTTACTGATCGCCTAGGGGAATTCAGTGCATGGTTGTCTCGTATTCTACAGATACTTTCGTGGACGTGACTTAAAGGCATGGGATCTGGCGTGTTCGCCGTTTCTGTCACCGATCATGGTAGAATAGCGCATATATGTATATTGATGTCGTGCTGCTTTGCAGTTGGAAAGTGAGCAACAAGAGCGCTGGAAGCTCTCCAGCACGCCTCGTCGCAACATGCTCTGCTTCAACACGCAGTGCTAACGCGCTGGTAGAAGAACGCAATCGCAATTACCACTTTTTCATGAACATCTGTTTTATTGCAATGTGCATTGTTTTTGTCTTCAAGAATGTGAGTCTGAAGGAAATATGAGGCTCACCGATCAATACTAATCAAGACTAGGATGGACGATAGAAGAAGTGCTGGCTGCAACGTCTAATACACAATAAAAGTAACAAACAGGTAGAGGTAGGTGCCAGTGGAGCCCGTTAATCTGAAATCAGCTACTTTGAAATTTGTTTCGCAGAAATTCGAAACAGTGCACATACTGAGAGGTAAATACTGAATGGCATCACAAAAGTGCCAACAATTAGGTCCGCCATGGCCAATGATACCTGAAAATCAACAAGAACTTGGTGCATTTTCTGTGGTGTTGGGAAATCAATGAGGGGAAAAATGAAATAGAGAGGTTGACTCACTAATAAATGATTTGTGGGTGTTTGTAAACTTTTTGTCGTCCATACAGCTGCTACAACCATACAGTTACCAAGCACACAAACAAGTGGTACGATAACCAGTATCAAATAACCCCATTCGAGTTTTAAGTGTTTGTCTTCTTCGATAAGACGTAATATGAGTAGCTGGTCTTCTGCGGAAATGTTCATCTGAAATGCGTTACCATGGATCGCACAGATCAATTACGTCACAGAATGCCAAATATTCGAGTGAATTTGAAGATTTGAAGGAAACAGTAACATCAAAACTAAATAAAAACAATGAAAGGAATTTCGGATTCCGCGGCACAGAGTTCGTTCCTCGATAAATAATTAATGAGAAATCTGGGAGAAACGATGGCGAATGAAAATATCAAATACTGTACTAGGCTTAAAGACAGTGAACGCTGTTGGAGGGTGAACCCCAAACACGCCCTCTAGCGCGCTTGATGTGACCACCAATGATGCTCAGTGACGTCAGCAAAACCGTTCCGCATCCGGTCGTCGTGTTCACTGCCTTTAAATATTGTATTGGTACATAATATCGCAGTACTTACATTCGACACAACCGTGAGAAGCAAAGCATATAAACATACAAGCAATTAGTGAGTTCATTCTAAAAATATTTGAGACTTTGATTTCATTTTGAAGAAAATCACAGAAATTAAAATGAAAAAAAGATTTAAGGCCCGTTTTCGAAGCCTCAGTACGGCCCCTTCTGGGTTAAGCTCCTCACGACCATCCTCCACCACCCTCGCCTGCCATCGCCATCATAGGGGCGATTCTATAGTATTTGATTCTGAGACCAGTCGACACAGCCCAACTCCGCCCACTTTTCCCTCCAAAATTGCCGTCGAGCGGGAGGGGGGGGGGGGGGGTATCGAATATCGAATGTGAAACGGCAAAATTTTCACACTCAACACTCAACCCAAAATCCCAGCCTACAACCTAATCCGCTCTCCGTTCCATAAAAAATCATCCCTTCCCTTACTGTAACATTAACGCTACCTCGCGAAATACGACCCCCCTCTTTTCCACCCCCAAATACGACCCCCCCCACCCCCTCGTTGGACTTTGTCCAACGGACGGTTGACCCTGCTTCAGGCAATGAAACCCACTGCTGCAATTTCCGTCTGGGATCATGACCGAGCCACTTTATTCAAGATTGTGAAGTTGCAGCCTCCAGTGATCTTTCCAGACTGGATGAAAGAGAACTGTTGAGTGGAATGGGTTATGTAAGAATGATTTCATTAATTACTATTGGGCAGAGGAAATCGCAAAAACACTGGCGGTATATTGAAAACACATTCACAGGCAGGGGCGTCGGGTGATTCATTTTTCCACGTTATTTCGACTTCTCGTCTACGTTCATTCGACGTCGACCAATAATGTTTGAATTGAGCCGCTCTCAAAACAGTAGTCGAAATTAGCGCCAGACAATAAACGGATAATATAGCAGGAATATAACTATATGGACATCACTATACAGGCAGTTCAGGTTACATAGAGTTCGTAGCCGGTCCGGCGCTGTGCATGTACCGCACCGAAAAAGTTATGGACTGCGCCTGGACTGTTGACTGGCCCATCAGCTTGAATTTAATCTATCTTGCTTCAAGACTAGTACTTCGAGCTCAAATGGCTAGCGACAAAAATGCTTTGTTAAAAACGTTTCGAAGCGGTAGCTTTTCGTAGCGGTAGCTTCTGGGTGCTCACTTAGTTGGGGGGGGGGGGGGTAGTCGCCTGGCGCTCTCTCGGGCGAGGTAGTGTGTGCTCGAATCTTCCAGCTTTTCACGCATGTCAAGTGAATGCCCTCATCCCCTCAGCCCTCCGCTTAGACCGCTACGGCCAGGGTCAACCCTAACTCGTCCTACGAGTAGACTAGTGACAGGGGGGGGGGGTCGTACTGGTGTTGAGGTTTGTAGAGAGGGGTCGACCGCACTTTAGTTGCTCGACCCAGAAAGAGAGAGGGATGGAAAGAGAAGGAAATATATTACCTGTTTCCAGAGTGATCACCCCCCCCCCCCCCCGCTCGACGGCATTTTTGGAGGAAAAAGTGGGCGGGGTTTTGATGGAAGATGGAGATGGTGGAGGTAGGGAAAAGGGGGTCGTATCAAATCCACGTTGGGGAGGGGGGTCGTAAAAATTTTTTCGAAAAGTAACAACGATAGGACAGACCCTGCCAACAGCCCCTCTGCTCACGCATTTCCCGAATTAACGATAAAGATGCAGCGAGCAAAGCGCCGCGCCGTCCGCTGGTTTCCCCCCCAACTAAGTTTCATCAGCTTCTGTTCATGGTGGAATGGAAGAAGGCCTTCGGAATTGATATGTAGCAGCAACGCTTCCCTCTAAGTATTGAAAGGAGTGATTTTGTCTCGATGTTATGAATATTTAACAAATAATGACGCCAGCAACGGCGCTGCTGCATAAAATAATTGAGGTAGCAACTTTCAGTTAAATAGTAAAATGAGAATTGCCAAAATCTTCTATGAAATTTGGAAGTCCCCCGTTAGTTCGTTACTATCCAAGGTTCCCACACACATTCGACAGGGTATCCGCAAAAAACTTTCCCAATTTGAAAAAAAAATACTCCTACCATCTTCCACATTTTACCAAGATCCAACCCTCACACAAACATCATAAGTATGATAAATATACTTCAATTTGCCATGTACTTCAGAAGCTGCTATAATAATTCTTCTCTTTATGTTTCTGTTCGTTTGTGGTTTGCTTTTCTATTCTTCATTATTTCTTCTTTCCTTGTCCCATTTTTCATAGCGTGTTAGTGGGTGTTCCTTTCCGTGTCAGATACCCTGTGAATCAAAAAGGAGCAGAAACAACCAAAGGAATAACAATTACATCCGGAAGGGTAATTTTCGTTATTAATAAGGCATGCACCCAGTATCAAAACCGGTGGTTCCATATCAAATCTATTCTTGCGAATGGCCAACGATTAAAAAAGGAAAAGAGTCTTGTTGAAAACAACCAATTGCTTAGATAAGGCTTGCTTACCTCGTAATAACTCGCGGCTATATTCCTAGGCTTTTGTAGAAAGACTAACCGCGAAGGAGCGCTACATACTGAAGGGAGTCAGGAAGAGTGCGCAACAGATGAGAGGGCGCCAGACAATGGCAAAAAAACGTTGCAGCTGCTGCAGCTTACTTTCCAAAGCCCTAGCGCCCTTATCAGGCGATCATGCACAGGAGTGCCACATCTGTGATTTTCCTCTGGGGATCCATACTACTGACTAAAGGGAATTGCTTACATTCGACTTTCCACCCGGATTGTGCCTTCAACATTCCCCAGATACTGTCGATATATATAGTCGACCAAACAATCCCGAGGGAAGTCTGGGCTTTCGCAGTCACATAGGCTGTTCCCTTGCTATCGATCTCTTTCGAAATGGCCATTAGAATCAGTGGTGCGGTGCGATCCTGGCTACCTCTCGACCTTGGAAGTATTCTTTCTCGGTTACAGACATCTGATAGTCATTCGCTACAGCTAGTCTGGGGCAGGGTCGGTCCTATCATTGCTACTTTTTCAAAAAAGTTTTTACGACCCCCCTCCCTCATGAAATGTTTCATACGACTCCCTCTTTCAAAACAATTTTCACCCAAAAAAATTACCGTCGAGCGGGGGGGGGGGGTTATATACTTACCGTAAAACCGGCAACAAGTTCATATAGTAACGTCCCTATTTCTACTCCACTTTCTAGGAAGGTAAATACGCGCGCTGAAACGGCAAATTTTCTCCCTGCGCCGCTCCACACTCATCACATTGCAACTTCTTACAACCGAAGCAAGTACGTACCCCCTCTCTACAAACTCATCAAAATACGACCACCCCCCCGTTGCTACTTGTAGCCGGCATAACCCCTGTCTGGGCTACTACTGTACCAAGAGAAGTTAACGGGTGGAATGTTGTCGGCTGCATAGAATAAAATCTATCCTACATACAAGTAGAAGCACATATACCGATGAATACCGACAAACAGCAAAGAAACAGCTATTTGTGGAAGAGAGGAAGTAGTCATTTACAGGAATTATTCGCCATCGAAGTCACACTTTCTTACGCAATAGTTGTCATGAAGCTTTTAGATACTATTCACCAGCTTAAAGATCCCACGGCTGATTAGGCATTCATCGGCAGCATAGCTACCAATCACCGTGCGTGCGGTGAAGCTAACAAGCATTTCTGCAGGGAATAAAACGATCGATATCTAAAGATTGAATGAAAAAAAAAAAACTTACTGGGAAAAAGAGGTTGCAAATATAGTTAGGTTCAATAGGACAATCTTGGAGCTCGAAGGAAAATACTGTCCGACTCGTGACGTCGAGAAGGAACTGGCCAAACCACCGTAGCAAAAAGGATAAGCGGTATCGGAACGTTCAAAAATCATGATTAAAATAGAGAGTAATAAAAATCGTTTGTCAGCACGGAGGTGTTTTAAGATTCTTGACACGTCTATAGTAGAGGCCAACCATCCCTTGTGTTGATACACATACGAGGAGGGCGTATTTTGTGCTGCAGAGGGAGGAGGGGGTATGTTTGACAAAATTATTTCATGCTTTAGGGCGGGGGTTGGCAAAATAGGACTAAAATCGCATGCCTAAAGTACATGGAAAGAAAAACTTCCGAGGTTATAAAATTTTTAGTTGCAAATGGAACCAATTTTCGTAATTTTGGCAATTTTTCTAACCGTCTCAGTCGTACAGGTTAGGCCACAAACACTCTATAAGTAATGAACCAGATATTACAGTCGCTAAAGAATTAGAATATTATCCTAATTAAATATAGCCAATCTCCAACGAGTCTTTGTCACTCATATCACAAAGCAGTACATACCGGCTTAACATCTGTTTCACCGTCCCTGGCATTCTAAACTAGGCGTTCGCTAACAAAGGGAATAGGCGGGCAGGTGGTACCCAGGCAAGACTCTTCACTATGATATCTGGGTTTCCTGTTGCCCCTCTTTGAATAATCAAAAATTCTTAAGGGTTTTGTGTTTGGTTTTTCTTCCAGCTTATCCTAAAGAACGTTCAACTGAATTATCCAGAGGATTTCCTATGAAAAGCTACTTAAAGCCTTGAACTCGGGAAATCCCTTGGCACAACTTTTGCTTTAGGACTCAGAGACCATGTACTGCCTGGTCAAAAATGTTCAACAGTTCAAATGAAGTACTCAAATGGTTTTTCTTGAAAGTCCCTCGGTCTGAATTGAGGTTGAGTGGTTTTCTACATTAATTCTCATACTGGAGCTAGAAGAGAAGAACGAGTTACTGCGCATCGTCCAAGTGTAACTTTCATATCTCCACCTGTCTCCCTTTGTGTATTTCCAACCTTACTAAAGAGCTAAACCATTGCTGATATGAGTTTCATTGTTTGGGTTGAACTTCTGCCAGATATGACGTGCCGCAACCCCTTAAGGAATCCTTCGCGGAAAAATCACATGCTTTTATTTGGGCCATAAATCACTGACTTGAGACTCATTATCCACGATAAGAATGGAAAGAACAGAAATATTGCTTTCGTTCTGGTAAAAAATTCAAAAATCGAAAGGGCTGCTACGCGTTCAAAGTGCCCACGGACGTCTTTCACAAATGCTGGCGACGGGGATGCTTCCACTTGGTTCTTGGAGTGCCTTCACTAGAAACTCTTTCTGGTTCTGCTTTATTGCATTCACATCTTACACTTCTACTCCATCCTATTCTATCGATCGATTTGTCTCTACTCTCCGAAATCGCGCGCTTTAACCTCGATTCTTTCGTGCGGTGTGCCTGATCACTCACCAGGCTCTGGAGCCAATTTCATTCTCATGTTCCTCGTTGGCTCCGCCCGAATTACTTCGAGTCGCAGTAAAAGTGTATTTTGTTAGACCGCTTTGGTTCTCTCGAAACTGAATCTTCATAGCGTGAAATCTTTCCGTCTGTTTCCTAGTGACACGAACAGCACAGCATCTTTATGTTCAATGAACCGATGCAAGAATTTTCCGCGAGGATTCCCCTGTAATCTTCTATACTGCGATGGTATACACGTCCAACTTGTTAGTTTCTCTCAATCTTGAAGAGCTGAATAATAATCGAATTCAATAAGAGAAGAAACTGTGCCTACACAATACTCAATAGAAGGGGAAGAAAAAAGGAGAGATTTGTAGAAGAAAGGAGGCTTCACCGCGCTCAACTGTGGTTACCATATTTAGGTCCACCCTGTACACGCGAGGGCTATGTCCTCGGGTGTCCCCCAAGAGGCCCATCGCGCGGCGAAGGAAGAGACGCAGACGCGGCAAAGGACGAGTCGCAGCGCATACTGTAGCGGTTAGGCGTCAGGTTAAAAAGAGTGTACCATACTACGTCTCATATCGCACAGCACGCGCTGCGACTCGTCCTTTGCCGCATCTGCGTCTGTTCCTTCGCTGTGCGACGGGCCACCGCACACCCATGTCCTCCACTTTTCACCATCCTGCTCGGCGCTGGGAACCTTCCTGTACTCCAACCGCATGTAGACATGACTTTACCCTGATACCCGTGAAAAAAAAAACCGCCAGGCGGGAGTGATACTGAAAGATAACGAAAATATCGGAAATTTTCCGTAAATTTTTCAAATTCTCGCAATTTGGGGCTATAAATTTTCCAAGAAGTAATCGTGGATTCGCTGGTGAAATCTACCATACCCAGCTGGGAGCCAAGTACGAACTCGCCTGAAGCCTCTACGTCGGCTCACCCCGCGCCCGCGTCCAATCGCTGCACTTTTTGTCTGGACTAATTTAATCTCACCGTTTATAGATATGTACGCAAACTTGAAGGTACCTACGTCGACAGCATGCAAGACAGCACGGGTAGAAACCTCCAGAGCTTCCCACGGTGAGTACCCCTGGGTATTTCGTCGTCAAATAGATAAACTGTATTTCTGTTTTCCATGGAATGATATTCATGCTGGTTGACAATATTAGCAATATTTACCGAGAAAATGGCAAAAAATGTTTGAAAAATCATCTTGGAGTTTTCAAGCATTAGCCAGAACTCCAACCACTGATTAGCCAACAAAATCGGAAGCGACCATGTAATTTGAGTTTGAGCTTCTCAAACCTGACCGAATGGTGAACGATTTTGATTTTTGATCAAGAAAAACGAGGCCGACAGTAGAGGAATGTTCAGAAAATCCAAGTTGAGTACGAGAATGGGTTCGCCGGTCGGCGAAGATGCGGCATAGGGAAGGAAGGATGGGAGCGCCGTCTTGTGCTGCGTGGTGCATGAGAACGGCGACGGGATTCGAATCACGCAGTACTCAGATATTCCATCGCTTCACGATTATTATTCATTGCAGCGCTCAGATTGAGTCTTCATATGTGCAAACCAGAGTTTCTGAAAATGAGGAAGACATAAACTTACTATAATGTAACCATACCAGTAATGAAGAGAGATGACTATGCGAAGGATACCATGAGCTCCTTTACGGTCAATAGTGTGACTTTATCCGCACCCATGATTTGGCGCATACTCAGCCATAGAAAACCTTGCAATAACCTCAAGGAGCAATAAATTAAAGGTAGCGGTTACGATAAATTCAAGAAGGGTTTAGTGTGACGTGGTGGTTCAATGGTACCCAGCAGCGAAAAAAGCAGAAAAATCCGTCAAGAAAACACAAAACGGGACCCTCTTTTTTGGCCATTGGTTTCAACTCGTGAACAGGTAACAGCTAAGAAAGAGGACGTATGAACGAGTTCACCGCAACGAATTTGATGGAACCATGCCAAAGTACGCTTTAATCGAGATACTCCATTTGCGCCGCTGCTGGTCACGCAGCTCGTCCAAATCAACAAGTCAACTTGTGGGCGTAACGCTGCTGGGGGCGGAGTGCTGCGGAGGTCCTGCTCAGCAACCACAGCACCTTTCGCCGTGGAAGCGCCACACATTGCTTCCTTGGCAGCCAAGTAATTGCTCCGTGTGGCGCAGGTTCTCCCCCGATGCGAAAATTCCTTATCGTAATCGCTTCCTTTAAGTAAAAGTGAGCCTCGCTGCTTTATTGATCATGGGCTTCTCCTCTACACTATGCAAAGTTGTACTGTCTGCAGCATAGCGTCCATCGTTGGAATGGTCACTGATTATACGTGTCTTTAGCATGGATGTCGCATTCCCCTCCAGCCATTTGGCGCTACTTCGGGAGTATTTTGGCGTCGCAATATTTTTTCCCGCCCCTCTAAGTCCTACTTGTTGGGGTTTGCAAATTGACGAGCACGCTGTGCATGTGCATCGGCATCTTTTGTATATCTCAAAACCAGTTCTCGTCAATTCCCCCAAAACCTTTTACGTCATCGAACGCACCACGTGTGCGCGCCACATCAGGGCTTTTGGCTCCGCCCTTTCTACTAAAGGCCGTCCAGTAGCTGAGCTTTTCAAGAACAGCTTATTTTCCAAAGGTACTTTTTCTGTTTGAAACGATACTCATGGTATTGTGTGAACCAAACAAACAAACATGAGGACAAAAGAACAGATTCTTTGTGCAGAATGCCTCTAATTGTAAGCGTCATAAGCAGAACTTGGGCTGAGTTCAAAGAGATATCGCGCTGCAACGAAAATGCACCCCTGGAAAGGGGAATTATTGGTCGAGGATTCCTCAACGGGGCACGTCGAGGATTTTCGACTGATCAAGTAGCGCTCTCTCGCGCAGACATTCGCACTCGCCGTACGCGAGCTGTCTGTGCTCTCCGCTCGTGCGCTCACTCTCGGCACTACTCTCGCCCAGTACAGAGCAACTGTCAAGGCACTCTCAACCGTTAATTTTCCCTTTTGCCCCTCACTACTGAAAAAAACGAACAAACACCTAATGTCAACTGCTCAACACTGAATGTGAGAGCCGAAATGCTCATGGTGGTCATCTCTTGATCTATAGTGCCTGTTGTTCATTACTATGTCCATGACTGTGTTTATGGTTTTTTTTTTCCGTTCTTCTTTGATTCACATTCAATTCCATTTTTGCTGACCATCTTGACAACTCCCTTGGGCAAGGCGTTTGCAGGGTCTACGACATCTAGCTGTCGTCTACCGCACGGTTGCCGCAGTCTTCCACCCTTACATTGCTGATGAGTTTTCTTTCCCTTTAATATTGCAAGTTGAGTGATGGTGAAGGCACAAAAAGTAGAAGAAGTGGAGCGACAGAATTGGTCACAGTGTTCACATTGATCCTGTGTTTTTGTAGATATAGGGGCCAAAAATAAACAGCATAGAAATTCAATCACATGTGAACGGAGGGTCAGCTTACATGAGTGTATTTTTATAGCTGTTGCCGTTTATATTCTGATCCATCGACAAGTTGAATTTTTGTCTCCAAAATGCACGATGGCTGGAGGAAAGAATGAGATCTAAAGGCACTTGGCCCATTGAAATGATAGTGGCCCAGATCATTTCAAAGTGCTAGAGACTAGCTCTTTGAGCCAGATTCAACCGTTGAACGAGCTGTTATGCAGCGTGACCATAACAAATATCGAGAGTCTAGTTTTTTTTTTCAAAAGAGAAACAAGGAAGCGAGTGGAGACAGGCTGGGTTTCGACAAAGTAACTTGGAGTGTCCTGTTTGAAATGGTCAGAAGCCGTCCATTCCTGATGAGATTTCCAAGAGGCAGCAGCCGAATATTCAAATGCGTTTACGAGAAAAAAACGACGTCAAACTGCAGCGATTTTCGGAAAATGTTTCCAAGCTTCAGAGATCGCCTTGGAGTGCTTTGCAGCCTAGCAGAATATCAATGTGAATATACGCGACAGGCGATTTGTATCATATCGGATATAAACTAGTTCTGGCGTTTTTCCAACATTGGCTAACCCGACGTATTAAATTAAATATAAACATATAAACAACCAAGAAAATAAGAAGAGAGGATGTCAATTCTGGTTCTACCGAGGTAAAGCTGGACAGAACCGCAGCAGTACCTTTAGTACTCAGCGAACCGCCTCGGAGGTCAGTAACTTCAGTTTTTGATCCCATCGGCTTCTTCTGAATGAGAAGCTGTGCTGTCCTGCAAATCTGCTCCCACCCCCATCATTGGCACCATCAAAACATTGAAGATTGACTGGTAATGACGTCATCAAATCCCAAATCCTGAATCGCTTTCAAAAATATCCTCTAGATTTCGGCACTATAAGGTGCCGAATTCCCATCTTGATTGACATACCACAAACTGAGGGTTAAGCAAAGCCCTTTATGCAATCATGTCCATTAGCGCTACTTTTGGAAACTGTTCTCCGTGGGCAATATCCACCGACTAGAGACTAGTAACTGGAGCTTGCTTTCATAGCTAACCTGTGGTAAATAACTCGCCTCATCACGCGGAGAGCTATTTCTTGAGCACAGAGTAAGGATTTGTAGTCCGTACAGCTCACCTAGCGCCTAAGCTAGCGCCTTGATTCTCAAAAATGTGTCAAATTGTTGTGGCACATATGCGTGCCACCACAAATTTACTGCTCGGTGCTACTGCTCCGTGTGGTCATCTTGAGAGAATCATCCAAGGTCGAACACCGTATTCACTCAAACAGTGACGGCGCCAGGTTGATTTCTGCCTTCCCAGCCTATCGAAAAGAGCACAAACTTATGGGTCCCAGCTTACAATTTGTGTAACTCAATGAAGAACAACAGAATTGAAGTCAATTTCATTCTAAAAAAACAGCCTAGAAAACAAGTCAATTGTTTGAAGAGTAAAAAAGATCGGAGATCACCTTCACTTCCGCAGTGCGAAGTCGTTGATCAGAACAAGTTGTAGTTACTAAAAGCATGCTCCGAGAGCAAAGTTTGTGGCTATTTAGCCGAGTATAAAAGTGAAGATGCGAAGATTACCGGCAGTGGAAAAAGGAAGCAAAAGAAAAAAGAGAAACCGCGGAATCTGAATTATAAGCTGTTCCTTTTGAGGGGTGGATTGAGGTATGATGGAGAGATAAAGCGCGCCGAGAGGAGAGAGTTCGCGAGAGGGGGCTGAGTAGGTTAGGGCTCAGAGATACGCCCATTACAGAGCAAGCACTGGAAGAGGCTTTAGGGGGTAGTAATCGGGACCACTAGCAAGAGTGTAGGTGCCCCCTGCACCCGCCCCTGTTGCGCTGCGGCCTCGGCAGTAGGATTATCTTCAGGGCCTTGTTAGCAACTTTGCGTGCACCCTTGCCCCTTTTTTTCGCTGATCAGTCGGTAACGGTTCACGTGTATTGGGTCAGCACTTAGCTTTTTTCCCTTATCCGCAAACACTAAATTGAATTTTGAGTCAATCAATCTTGTGCCATCCCGGGTTCATTTATTCATGATTTTTCACTGTTATGATTGACCTGTAAATAAATAAATAAATAAATAAATAAAAAGAGCATAGCGCACATGTGCCCATTTGGAGCAGTGTGAAGGGCAGATCTGTGACCTTCATAAATAGTATTTCCAGACCAAACAAAGGGGATACTCCTGAAGACCAAGCTTCAAATGGGCCTGCTATTGTGACTTATACTGCATGGTAGACGCTACAGCAAGTCTCATTTATTGCTGGTTAGTATTCCTACTTCATAGAATACACTGCTATAGTGGCTTAGGCGGAACTTAGTACAACTCATGTTTCGAGAAAGGAACCTCGAGAGAAGATGATCATGTCTAAATCCGGGCCGCTAAGATCTGTTATAAGCTAAGAGTCGAGAGACACACCAATACAATACAAGCGACTACAGTTCTTACTCCGCAGCAATGTACTCAAGAGCAAACTTGTAAAAACAATCTGAAAAGATTCTGTCTTAAAGACACAGTCCAGGATCAACTACGTTCACCGACTCCGTTGCCCAACATGATAGGCTGGCGGACAAGCGTTAATGTCGTGCTGCTTTTGCAGCTTGAAAGTGCGCAACAAAGGCGCAGACTCTCAATCAGCAATGCACGCCTCGTCCGCAAACCCCGCCCTCTCCTGCCGGCCACACGCTGGCGAAGAATCAGGACCGCAATTCCTGGCTTGCGCAGCTTGCGGTAACAGGCAAGCGGTAGAAATGGACACTGGTCCAACGTGCGACGCTAGGATCCAATACCAAAATAGAAAACCTCGTCGAAGGCTGGTGAAGAGGGCTCCTTTTGGCCTACTAATTTCCTTTGCTTTTCTTCAGTTACAACTAGCTTGGCACCCACAATATCATATTTGAATAAGATTTTCTCCTTCTTCAACGGCGAGTTTCCTCGCTGTAAAACATAACATTAGCCGAATTACTGGGGACTCAGTCAATACCTTCACTTCATCATATCAACGAGTATGTTTTATGTCTTATAGCAGATTGCCAAATTCACCGTCTTAATTAAACGTGGGGCAGTAATCTATACGAAGTTAGAGCACTAGCGAAAGGCTGCTCCTGTCTTCACCAGTTGTTTCAGATCACAGTTACGCGACATTCGCAGTGATTCAAGGTTAACTATTGAACAGAAAGATGCGGCGGAAAAACAACGCCGGCATGCAGAGGCATGTACGGGGCGTGGCCTTAAAGGAGGAGTTCACGATAAAAAGATAGCGCAGTTGAAGTTAAGGTAGAGGTCAGTGATGCAGGATTGAAGAAAAAATCAAGAAAGACGGCCACAAACACACGATTTGCGCTTTACGCCTGTCTCTTCAGTGCTGACCCCATCAACGCTAACGCTACCTCTGCTAGAACGGCCAGAGTCAGACGGCGTGGGCTCAGCCGCGAGAGGCGGGAGTGCAGCGGCGCGAGTGGCGCGGGTAGGGCCTTGCTAGGCCCGGGAACCTCACTCGGTATATTTCCCTATATTTGACCTCCGATCTTATCGTGGAAACGTCCTTTAGCAAAGCATCAGACAGGCCCCAAACGTGAAGAAACGCAGAGGCGAATAAATGTCAAACAAAAAAATCTGCTATGTGAACTGAGCTGTTATCACGAAGGTTCAAAGTATCCGAGGAAAATAGCGAAAGTAGTCTTTCTTTGAGAAGTGCGTTTCCCCTTCACCTCATTTACTACTAGGATTTGTATCATAATGAACGATTTTCGTGAACCAACTGGAGTTACGCGAAATAAGCGCAAAATTCAACTGTCATCCATGATATGAAAAGGAAAAGAAGAAGGAGAAAGAGAAAAAAGAAAAAGAAATTGGTGAGGGCGCTTTATAAGACGCAGCGGCCCAGGGATTATTGTGGTCAGACATCTGAGCGGATAGGCCTCTCTGATTGTCATTGGAGCACCACATATAGCTCAAATCTTCATAATGTCGGCTTTGTTTCGAGCCTGCTCCTTCCAAATGAGCGCCAGATAGCACTAGTGCTAAGAGGTAGGTCATGCCCATAGAAACCCTTTCACAATAGGAAAGTTGTGGCGCCAAACTGCGCTGGGAACGATGGCGTATTTGTGGCTAGGAGAAAAGGTAACCCTTAGAGCGAAAAATTCTGAGAAAATCGAGACTTAGTCTTAACTTCGAAAAAGTTGGGCAGCCAACTTGTTACTCGTGTATGCCGAAGAACGACCAGAAGACAGGCTCCTCCTCTTGAGCACGACGGCACCGCTAGGACACACGACGACAGGCATTCATGCATTTTGTGCATCTGTGTTCATGGATTAACTTTGTAATTG